CGAAAGACTTTCCTTTATTTTGTTACATTAATAATATTTCGATATTATTTTCCAGTGCGTGCGCTACAGCATATTTGTAAATTATAATTAAAGACCGGATTTCCGTGCAATTGCATCTTTTTRTGACGTATTCTAAATTCTAYATAAACAAGGTACAAATCCAAATCAAGATATGTAGAGTAAATTGAAGAAAATTTTGTGTTGCATTAATTAGTAGTGCTGCACTACAGTCTATCCACAGCAGCCAGAAGTTGTAAACAAATATTGTAAAGTCAGTTGTATACAAAGTATCAGTTGATTATTGTTTTATTTAAATTCAATGATTTTTTGAAGTATCTATAGTGAACATTTTGTTTTTACACGATTTTACACATTTTAATTCCACGTTTTTTAGGTGTTAGTTGCACAAAAATCCAGTCTTTAGTTATAATATATTTGAATATTTCATGCTCGTGACTACGACATTTATCGACTACGGTTTCGAGGGTTCGTCTTTAAATTAACTAAAAATTAGTTTAATTCAGCGATCATTATAAAAACCGAATTATACATATGCCTACAAGATATACAAACGAACGAATTTTAATCTCTCACTCTCATCTACCTATACTCGCAATCGGATGGTCGCAGTAATGTAAACACTGCTGCAACAGTATTTAACTGGGAGATCATTATTTAGTAGTTTACCGTCGGAATTAGCACATGGCCGTTTTCTACCAAAATGTAGGTACATGTTGAATGCACCGTGTTTCACCGCGTGGCATAACGAACATTGTTGATACTCATATAATATAATACTGAAGGTAGTATTATATACTATATTATAGATTCAAGTAATTTAAAGAAGACGACTAAAAAGTGCGAAAGTTAGACGATATTAAGTATAGATATTAAAAATTGGAACCTCTTAGSCTCGGGAACTTAATGGAGGTGCTATGATGCACACCCTTAGTCATGCTACTGAACATGTGTTTTAGAATTATATTCTATACCTGTGTGGCTGCGTAMGCAATAACAACCAATTCGATTAAGTCGAAAGTAGGTACATAAAATAACGAAAACATAAGTTCATGGGAGTTATGCTTTAAAAACAATGCATCAAACGTCAAGATACCATGTACATATCAGAAAAATGTATCTAAATATTTGTATGCCTAACAGATATAAGTCAGGTACTGACTTTTAGGGTTAGTTAAATAATATAAATAATTTTCGATAYAGTCAATAWAACATTATCAGTYGTGTACCGTTTAATTTCTATGCCTGAACATGAATAATAAGAAAAATACGAACTTAAACAGTATTCAGTATTCACTAGTTTATAATAATAGGTTTATAAAGTGCACTTATCAAGTAKTCTCKTGGGCAAAAAATATAAATCGTATCATGGAGAAATTAATAGTATAATATTACATACATTTGTCCCTAATTTGGATAATATGATTCTCAAATATTAAATATTTGGTTGAATAGAAAATTATGTTAAAAGTTAAATATAAAATTCACTGTATATAACGTAGATATAGTATTTAAGATGGATCCTATACGGTACAATACTAATTTCACTAACCTGCTACTGATGATCTCTGGGGAAGATGTCCTAAATCCCTGTCCACGATGCATTCATTAATTCACACGGTTAAACCTCGCTGTCTCGCTTTCGGTGGTTTATATTAGTCATTCGAATGTGAAATCCACAACGGACACTATTGTAATTAACGATATATCATAAAAACAAAACTCGTCCGGGAAATTTTTTTTTAATTCAAAATTTAGTTTTTTTTCCAAACACGAACACAAACTAACCGTGGCAGCGGCGATGCCCACGAACAAGTACACAACAACAGACCATTCGCACCCGGCGCTTAGAGGTGACTGTAAAACATCACAAGTCGGTGTTCACCGAACTGTGTTGGAAATATACGTTCGCCCCTCTTATATAATAATAATAATATGTGCACGCGATTCCGTCTGGTTTTTCCATCACTCTCTCACCCACGCTCTCACGCTCACTCTATCTCTTTCTATCTCTCTCCACCCGCGTGTCTGTCACTATTGGGTGTCGCGGTACCTGAACACGCCGCCGCCGCTTTTGTTTTTCGCCGTGCCCGCGTGACACCAGGTGACCGACACATCGCGGCTGCTTCCGAGTCCGTCGCACTTCCGACAAACAATTATTACAATATTATTATTGTAATGTATATCAAACAGTTGCCTGTGTATTGTTTATGTTTATGTATATACACATATTATATTACAAAAGTAATTATTTGAAAAACTGAACAAGTACCTACGAATAGTATACGGTATCATTTTGTCGATGTAAAATATTAACGACTTATTATATAGGTACACCTATCATGCGGCTATACCTATATTGTACAAAAATGTATATAGCCATGCAAATATTTGTTAAATGATTATTAAAAATATATTTGAAATAATTATTTGATGAAGTATTTAATAAATAGTTTTTAGAAGACCATATACACACTTGGCATTTTTTTTCTGATCAACTAAACTTTGAAGGCTTATTTTATTAAAAATATAAAATTAAAATAGCTTCCTATAACTATTTTAAGAATTATTATTTGTATTTAATTCAAAATATGTAAAAAAAATCACCATTTATTTTTATAAAAATATAGTGACTGAAATTGGAGACAGAAATAATWAAAATTATATTTTTACTGGAACACGACGAATGAATAAAGCGAATGTATTTTTCCACTCACGTTTATAATACGTAATACATTTTATATACGTTATATAAATATTAATATTATATGCTGTTCGTACAAAGCTTCAATTGATATTAAGTAAATACTAATAATTAGGTAATGAGATATATTTATATATTATTATGTATAACATATATTTGACCGTTTACGTGTCCTG